GAAGGGTATCTGGCCCAACCAAGCTAGATCTCATGCGGTCTGATTCAAGGGGTAAATTTGGATTTTCAATTTCATTTTTACCCTTTTAAAAATGATTCAATATTTATGAGGTGCTTAGGGAAGCTAATTCTTTGTGTTTAAGGGTAGTGATATGTGCAAAGTTTTTATTGCATCTGATTAAAATATACTTGTTTTTTTTGCAGAAAATGTCAATAGTGTAAAAGACTGCAAAGCTCAGTTTGATATTAAAATTTCGGGCACTCCGGTAATTTTCCAACTTCTTTCTTTGCATGGTATTTTTCTTTCAATGTGAGGATGAATATCCAACTTATTCCTTTGTCTGCAATGATTAGTCCTTGCCTATAGTTCCTGCTCACAATGGGATACATAGCAACAAAAGTATCATTAATCTGGAAGAAATAGTCCCTGCCAACAGGTCATCTCTAAAGTCCGAGAAGGTAGTTCAGAATTTGACTGTGGAACAGTCAAGTAATTTGTTTGAATTTGAAAACAAATTGTTTGCCGCTTTGCGGAAAACACCGGTAGATGGCCATCATAAAGCGGATGATTTGATCAAAACAACCTTGTTGGATAAACAGTCTGATGAGGCTAGTGAACCTTGTCCTTCAAAGAAGCCTAGATTGGTTATAACCGGACCTGATCGGATGGGTCGCTCAAGGCAAGCCATCAAAAGTTGCAATATGTTGGATGGTGGGAGATTAACATTATCTGGACCTCGAGAAAAGCTACCTAAAGATGAGATAGAGTTACAAACAGAGGTTGCTTTATCTAGTAGCCATGGAAAATTGTCTAACTCTGCCACATCTTCTGAAAATGTGGAAGACAAGGGATCCACATTTCTTGTCCAGGTGAAAAATCTTTTTGTTTAATCCACACCAAATGGAAATGATTAAGGTTTTGGTGTACATAGGGTCATGCTAGAAAATACTCCTTATGCTCTTATTTTCTGTCTACATCATAGAATCACACATATTAAGAATTTATATGAAAGTATAAATTAAAGGGTATTAACCACATATTACTAAAATGATATTCATGGACAAAAATATAACTAAATGGTCAGTGCCGGTGCCAGCACTGTCACTGCACTTGCGGAATTTGCTTACTTAGCTTAGGAGGTTACATTTATGATCATGACTTTTATATTAGTAATATATTTGTCATTATTTTTTAAATTAATAAAAAATACGTATCTGTTTATGCCGAATAATACAAAATGTGTTAAAATCTCTTTTCATGTTTTTCAATGTGCTTGGTATTTAAATTTGAATGAACATTAAAAAGAATTAACTAACTGGTGATCCAACTAACATTTAATAAGGTTACACATAAAGGACCATAAAAACATCAAAATGTAGGATGAATGTAACCAAGTAATTTATTTGCTGTTATTTGTTAAAGTATCTTTCGTCTAAACAATTTGCTTGCCCGATTACCCTTTTAACAATTTAGTGTTGGTTTCTTCAAGTGAATTATAGTATCTTTTTTCTGAATTGTCCATTCAGGTGCGTGAGAAGCTTAGTGATGTAGAGTACAAAGAGTTTATTGGTTATATGAAAGACTTGAAGTTCAAAGCAATGAAAATTGGGCAGGTTTTGGAATCCATTGCAAGATTATTTTCTCTCCCTGATAGGTTTCCTCTTCTTCACAGGTTTGGATACTTCTCAATGATGGGTAGTTAAGTTTTTTCAAGTATGATCAAGTACTAGCTAGTAGTGGCATAAAGAAGATACATCAAGCTGACATTACAGACTTATCCTGCAGCTGATTTCTGTTTCATAATAGTTAATACTAATACTGTACTGGGCTTGATCACTTCAGCCGATGAGATTACGATTGATTATTAAACAAAAATGCCACTACTGCAAAGCCTTGTTAAAACCAAATCTTTCAGATTATTTGTGGGATCATGGCTTGTTCATCTACGCATAAAATGACACAGAACCTTCAACTTTAATGAAAACTAGTATGCTATATCATATAATCTGTTTACTACTATATAGTTTACAAAGCATAAAAATAAAATAGTTGATTACAAAAAAACATCGTTTTAATTAAGTGGTTTTATCATACCTCTGCTCTTTATACATATATCATGCTCTTGAATTGAAAAAGGTTTTGGACTTGAGTTTTTTTTAATGTGCTGACAGGTTCAAAGATTATGTCCCTGTCAAGTATCGGTCTTTATATGAGCAGTACCTAAAAAGGGCGTGATTCGTGTTACTGCCCTCAACTCTCTCAAGCAACGTGTGATCCCAGATTGGATTACAAATATATTTTGAATTATGGAAATTCCTACCTTGATTGCAAATCCAAGGGTTCAACATTCTCTTTTAGATTTTCATCCTTGAAGGGAAGTTACACCTCTCTAATCTCTAGCAAGGCATTGTTTGGGTGCCATTGTTAGCCGATTTTGCAGGGTTATAGCACCCAAAGATCCAAAACAAGTAATGGCCGTTATCAGTGTATCTTGCACTTAATTTAAAAGCATAGTTGTAGTGAACCTATTACGGTGATTATTTATTTATTTCTTTATTATTAGGAGCATAGTTTTTCTATTTATGTACTACAGTTTTGAACCTTTGTGTAAATCACATGTAAGTGCAGTAATGCACTTTTTATATATTTGGTTTCTATAATAGATTTGTTTGTTTTTCATCTCATAAGTAACGTGACCGTACTAGAATCATGATTAATGTACTCCATGTCAGTTAAAGTTCTGTCTCATCTTTATCTGCAGATCCGATCTCTCGTGACTTTTTGGTCGGAATTCCACCGGAACATACCCTGAAAATGGTGATCAGGTTGACAAAGGCACTTCAAATGAACTTGTATGGTTTCTTGTCATTCAAGTTCAAATAACAAAGGAGCCAAGGAGGAGCTCTTGCCTGAATTCCCAGTTGAGATTCCCATGATGTTTCAACCTTTCTTCCGTCATTTCTTGAGTGGATCACTTGAATTCCTCGTACGGGGATGAAGCATATGTTAAAACTGTGACGGTGTCTTCTAGACTTGATGAACTTTCACCGTTGCAACAGAATAAAAAATCATCAAATGTCTTTTGGATCACATCCACAAGGAAAAATGGATTCCGTGTTGGGTTCACGTGCTTTCTTTTCTATTTCTTCGTTTTTTTCATTCAGATAAGTGAACCTAAAATCCTCAAATAGAAAACGGTTGACGTAGGCTAATGTAGCAGCGGGTGTCTTGTCTGTCACTGGCATCATTGGAAATGGCTAATGATTGTGTGACTTGTGTCTTTGGCCGCCTACATCCTTTGAGGATCCAATTTGTGGAAGATGAAATATTTGGTTTCTTAATCTTGGAGAAGCAAATGGAGAATGTTTTTTGACAGGGTTTTGTAGGTGTAGACATGTGTTATATCTCGAATGAAGCTAACACCCGTCGGTTGTGCCTACTTCTACACGAAATTTGGACACATTTTGTGTCACACGTCTAGCTGCCCGTGTACATAGCTTTTGAATGAGCGCCATGTGTACAAATTTCGTGTACAAGTAGCTTTTTTAACACCCGTATTGGCATGTGAATATGTGATTATATACTTGTTCCAATACTTTGATTCCTGTATGGCATTATTTTTAAATTATATTTTAGATTTACTTTTTACCATTATATAAATAAAAAGGTTACCATATTTTTCTCAATGTATCCATAACTTTTACAAATACAAAATGAACATATTTATAGGAATTGTTTTTTTAATAATATTTATAGGAATTGTTAAAAATGTATGTTGGTAAATACAGGAGTATAAATATGAGAATGTTATATTGCTGGGTATGTTAGATTGATAAGAATGTATTCAATTTATCCCTGTTTGTGTTTGGTTGAGTCAGGAAATGTGACATTAATTTATTTGGTTGAAAGGTATCCTATATCGCATATTTGGTGAAGTACTACAATGCCTTTTAAATATTTTCTCTTAACACAATAAATCTATTACAAGTGACATCTAAAGTAATTAAAATTAAAGAAAAAAATAAAATATCTTAATAATAAATAAAATTTAACTAAGTGAATTATTTTTAAGTAAAGTATGTGGGAAAAAACTTTGTATTTAGATGTATGGGTTTATTGTCATAAGATGAAGAGAAAATATGGTGGAAAAAAATTAGCCCCCAATTGAAGATGAAAGAGTTGAAAATAAATTAAATGAAAAGAGATAATTAATTGAGAGTATTTTCAGAAGAAAAAATAGGTCATCCCTCAGGATGTTAGATAACCTAAGAGTGACAAGGAATGTGATGAAAAAGGAGCAGGGTGAGGAAGATAATTGCGCTTCTATCCCCAAGAGTGACAAAGAATGTGATGAAAAAGGAGCAGGGTGAGGAAGATAATTGCGCTTCTAATTGTGCAGTTATTTTCAAAAATTCATTTGAATGCCTTCCCGATTGAAGTTTTAGCTGAAATTTGGTATGAGTAAACTAGACTTGATGAATAAGATGATATAAAAAATCATAAAAAAAATCCACCGGGAACCACCCCAAATGACGACGGCCAGACAGAACCTTCTAAATAAGGACTTATTTGACCTTTTTTGGTTAGTACATGGACCTATTTGCACCTTTTCCCTATTTTATTTTATATTTCGGAGGAATGGTGCAACATGCAAATATAGTTTTAGAGATGTGAAAAGAGAGAACCGAGGATAAAAAGGCGGTAAGCCGCTAAGCCCCGCAAAACATCTCTAGTAATCCTTTTTCTCATTTTTTAAATAATAAAACTAATTTCCATGCAAATTTTACAATCTCGATCAATTTTCTCATTAATAGAGGTAATATAATGGAAGACAAGAAGAGGGATGCAAGGAGGAAGATTATGGCAAGTGGGTTTTGATTATTTGTCTTAACGTATTATTATATTAATCACATCCGAAGAAAAGAGATAGTTAAATGCCTATACATTTGTTCGATCTTTAATTATTAATTAATTAATTGATTAGCACTCCGTCTTATTTACTACTTTGATGATGTGCAGCATATATCTCACCAAGGCCAATCGGAGAAGAAGATACAAAAACATTCCAAACGCGGCCTTAATCGTCCGATCTCCCTAAAAGACATCAACGATTGTGTGATATCATCGGAGAACGTGCGGCTGGGATGTTCAATAACGATCGCGCTTGTCGTGGTCGCGTCTCACATGAGTGTAACCCCTCATGGCGGCATGGCGAAATCTAACAGTGGCATCGCCTCCAGGCCGCTATACATGCTCATCCTAACAGACGTCACTGTTGTGGTGGCTCGTCTGCTGATTCCCCAGCCGAAAGAAGCCGAAGAAAAGGGAGAAGAAGGAGACGATGGATGGAGAGGAGCATTTGTAGTTCTGGAAATTGGGTTGGTTGTTTATCAGGCATTTCGGGCTCTCTTCATTGACTGCAGCTTTTATCTGGTTCTTGTTTTATGTCTTCTTTCTTTCTTGTAGTTCATGCCACTTCTTATGCCTTGTGTTAAAATAAGTAACATAAAACTGAAACCATAATATTAAGGTTGAATGATAAGTTGGCACAGAACAACCCTTCTCTCTTATTTTTCCATGCATCATTCGTATGCATGTGTATATATGTATAATACAAGGGGAGGCCGAGGGGGAGTTTGACCTTGTTCATATTGCATGGACCATGCACTTGAATGGAATAATATAGTCTATCTATTGGGATTATATTGAGAAAAGTAACTGGCCTAAATAAAAGTAAAACATACTCCATAACACTTAAATTTTTTGTCCTCAATACTCATGTTCTAATTAATTAATTAATTAATTAATTAATTGTTCCCCTAGTTGTCTTAAGGAGTTGGGGGGACTGGGGGAGGGAGGAGGATACTTTGAAAGTATATTGTTGGAGGGGAAAAAGTAGGGGTGGACTCGGCCCGGGCGGCCCGGCCCAGTTACTGTGTGGCCCAGCCCGGCCCAGAGCCCGGTGGGCCCACCGGTTCGGTTCGGCCCGGCCCGGCTGCTGGGCAGTTCGGGCCCGGTTCGGGCTGATTTTTAATTTTTTTTTTTTTGAATTTTTTTTAAGTTTTGGGTTGGATTAGGTATTTTGGGCCATTTGAGGTGGTTTGGGGTGGAGGGGTTGGGGGTTAAATAGAAGAACCAAAAAAAAAATATATAACCGGTTAGGCCCGGCCCGGCCCGGTTTGGCCCGGAACCGGAACCGGAACCGCCCACCGGCGGTTCGGGCTCGGGCCCAACTTTCCTGGCCCGAGGCCCGGTCGAGCCCAGGCCCGAACCGGGCTCGAACCGGCCCGAGTCCAGCCAACCATGTAACCGGCAGGCCCGGCCCAGCCCAGCCCAGTCCAGCCCAAGACTTGAATTTTGGGATCTTCCAGGCCAGCGATTATTTTTCCTACCTTAACAACGGAAAAATATAACCAGACCGGGTCTGACCCTGGACCGAAACCAAGACCAAACCTCCCAGGAGTCCCAGGTACCCAAAACCAGCCCAGAACCGGATTGTACTGGCTTAGACTTGGTCTTCCCCTAGCACTGACCAGGTTCGCACCTAAGCCTTCTCCCCCCTTTATAAACTTAACTCCCAAACATACCCTTAGACAACCAGGTTAGTCCATTGGAAGCAGGCAAGTCCTACGGTGGTCGAGACTCAAGATGGCGACCGGAGTTTTGTGGTGCAAATCTGGATGTCAACATCGTCTGCTGGATGAGGATCCACACCTCTGTTGAGCTCCTTGGGTGATCACAACCAACAATGCGCTACAGTGCTACACGGCTAATGCAGATTGCAAAGTCAAAAAGATGGTTATATATCAACTCAGCTATATGGAATGCCAACTATGGAACCATGAAAGGGATAGAACTATGTACTTACAGGTGCTTAAAAATACAGATATCTGACACAAAAACATGTAAATATGCATTCATATATCAGAATTAAATTTGGCTCCTTTGTAACACAAAAATCTCTTATTAATCCAAAAACGAGGACAAACTGAAAAAGATGCTTGTCAAAATAACAAATTGTAAATGAACATAGCCTTAAGTAAACTACAGTAGCTCCGGTTCCTTCTAATCATTTCAGAACCTAAAGCCCCTTTCAGTTTAGGCCACCAAAGTGCTGGCAGTTGTAGACTCACTGCAAATTGAATGAAACAAAACAAATTTCAGTGAGAGAAAGTCATGTGACATTTTGGGAGAAACATTACGGTTAATAATTGTCAAGCCTAAAACTACAGTGCCTTTCAGGATGCACATAAATTTCACAATGAAATAAACAAACAATAAAACTAAATTTATGTAAAAAAATCTATATCTTTCTTAAAAATTACTCCGTATAATTTAGTTTTGATTCATTAGCTCCTTCCCGATAGAAAATAAATTTTATATCACAATTTCTAGTCGAAAAAGTCTCAATATATCTAGTGTTTCAGACATAATTATTCACTAGTCACTACCTCTACATAGTTTCTATCTGGTAGTGTATACATGCACTTTTGATTGTTATATGGTAGGGCATTAAGATGTAAGATATAAAAGTTAACAATTATTAATATAAAATTTCAAATAGGAGTCTGACATATCTACAAATCATAATACCTTGTAAAAGCAAGAAGTTGTGAGAAAAAATACATAATATAAAATTTTAAAAGCCAAATGGTCAGTAAGGCTGAGTTTGCCACAGACAACAACCACATTACCCCAGTGCCGCAAAGGCTCCCACCTACAGTGGGGTAAGGGGGTCAAACATACACAGCCTTGCCCCTGTACTAAAGAAGGGAGAAATTGTTTCCGGATAACGCATGATGAAAATCGCGTCGAAAATTGAATGGACTGTACTGACTGCTTCAAAACAAAGAAGCGTAGACAGTTCAGTGAGCAATTTTGCTTTATTCCATCACATTCCCAAGCCAAAAACTAGAGAGTCTTTGACTCAATTGAAAATGATGGAAAGAGTTTGCCTCAATTGCAACATTGGACTTTTTCACTATTCACGTGTTCTACTTTGACTCTATTTTATTTATTAATATATTATAAATTAAATTTTTTAAAAAAAATATTGTTAAATTCCTCTCATTTTAAAGTTTCAAAATCTATATTTTTTTAAATTTGTTTACTAATAAGGTATGAAAGATATTAATGGTCAACTTGTGCGTTGACAAACGTGAAAAGTGGACCGTTGCATTTGAAAAAGAACGGAGGAAGTATCAATGCTATAAAACTCTTTCAGATTCATTTAAATGTTGTTCTGCCAATTAAAACTGAATCAACTACTACCTCCATCCCATTTTATGTGTCCTACTTTGATTTGGCACAATTATTAATAAAGTAGTTGAAACGGTAAAAGTTGTGATTGAGATTTGAGTATAATAAAGTGAAATATTGTTGACCACATATTTCTCTCCAAAAAAAGTAAATGTGACACTTATTTTGGGACAACCCAAACAGGAAAGTAGGAAAGGTAAAATGGGATGGGGGAGTTAAATATAATGAAATTTAAATAGCATACACCAAGGGGTAAATTAGATGTATTAAAATTTATCTGAAAGATTCTATAAAATGCGCCAAATAAATAGATAACCTTTATTATACTGCATAATGCATATGCGATGGAGGTAAAATATGAGAACTTTGTGCAGTAAAGGAAACCCAAAACATACCAAAGAGACATACACCTGAATAACCCTTAAGGTTTGAGAAGAAAAGAAAAACAAAGGATGATTTAGAACTAAACCAGATACATGAAAGTGAGAAGAGATGTGGAGAAATCTTACTATTTCCAAACAGGGGGGAGTTTCTTGGTCTTCTTGTAGTAGCGCGCAAGGCGATGAATCCTGCTCTCAACAAGAATCAGACGGAACTTGGAGTCTTTGTCCTTCCTATTCCTCTCCAAATGCTTCCTGATTGCAACAGCCTTCTTAATCAAATGGTACAGATCCTCTGGTATCTCGGGAGCCAGACCTATACACAATTTTCCAAAGCCACCAGCATTCTATTATTATACTATCAACCAACCAAATTATCCTCCAGATATTTGTATAAAAAATTATTACCATGTGCCTTGAGGATGCGGAGAATTTTGCTTCCTGTGACACTCTTCACTTGAGCAATTCCATGTGAATCTCTCAGAAGAACACCGATCTGCGAAGGTGTTATACCTTTTTTTGCAAACTTGCATATGCTCTCTTCCACCTTAGGTCATCAAAATTAAATCAAGGGTCCATCTTGAAAACAGAAAATGATATAGAAGGAAGGTAGGGAGGCAAATAAAGATTGAAAGGAAGAGAAGAGATGTGGGGGAAACATCTGTTCAAGCTTACTTAATTTAATTGAATATTTTTAGAATTCTTAGTTATTTTTTCATGTTAAATAAATACTAATCCATCTGAATAGATATAGAGAATGACACTTCTTAGCATTTTTGTTTCTTTCTACCTAGCATTTTCCAAGTTCCAAAGGCCCTCAAGCTTTTTAAAGTGAAAAGAGCACTAAAGCGAGAAGGTGAAGCTCTGCTTGAAAGTGAAAGCGCAAAGCCTTGCTTTCTCACAAAAATGGACACATAAAAATACAAATAAAATATATGAGGTCAATAAATAGATGATACAAATCTCATCGACCAATTTTTATGAATGATGAGTATGACGTGTAGTTTGCAAAGAGTGATTCCTTGGTACCATCCACTCCAGTACTAAGTTTAAAATCATCTGCTTCATGCACTATTGTAAAAGTAACACTCTTAATCCATGCACTGACATAGTAAAATGTGTTCATAATATTTTATATTATCTATAAGAACTGAAGATACTGTTATTTACTTATATTCAATATATTCCATTTGAGTATAAAATACACTCATGCAAATATACTATAATCTGCCAAAAATAAAAGAAAAAGTGAGCGGCTGCTAAACTTAGATACGGGATGGAGATTTCACTACTAATTTACTAAAAGGATGAAATAGAAACTAATCACACCAATTCATTCTGATGTCTATTTGATAATTGTATACTTGATAAATATTAGTGCACACTATAGGTTATAAGGTTCAATATATTTCATTTCAGTGTTTTTAAGACTTTAAGGAATTAATGGAGTAAACTAGATTCATCAAAATCTTTTATCTATTTGGGTAGCATTATACAATCTGATAGAAAGTAATGAGTGGTGTTTTGATATGTAGGGGGGAAACTTTAAAGTACCTGGATTGTTTTACAATTTTATAATTTTCAAAATTAAAAAATCAGATTTTAGCTCTGACTCTAAAATTAATTTGAAGTTCTTGCTTTCAAACATTTTATTGTCCAAAAACATTTTATTGTCCAAATAAACTTTCAGCCTTACACAATACAATCTATGCACATAGTTTATCTCTTAAAACATAACAATGAAAAGAATTATTAAAAACTCCTCTTTATGTGAATCTTTTATGTTTTTACTTTTCAGTTTCAAACTGTTTTTTACAATCATTTGTTTGTTTGAATATGTTTGAATCTTTTTGTTCTGTCTATGCAAGCATCTTCTTCTATTTATGTAATTGTCAATATGTCATCTTCTCCAAACATATAATTGAAGCAAAAAGCTTAAGTGAAGAAGCACTGAAAAACTACAAGTGAGAAGTAGAGTTTCAAAGAAGAACTTTTAACTTTAAATTAACCTAGAGATGCAAAAAAGGAATTAAAAGAAGAAGAAGAACTGAAAACAGCAAGTGAGAAGTAGAATTCAAGAAAAAAGATTAAGCTTTAACCCTAAATTAACCTAGAGATGCAAAAAAAACTTCAATGAAGAACTGAGAACTACAAGTGCGAAGTACAATTTCAAAGAAAAAAATCAAGTTTTAACTTTAAATTGACCTAGAGATGTCGAGCCAGAGAGAGCAGCAGAAGCTTAAAGTTCTGGTGTTTGGTATTAGAAAAGAAAGTAAATTTGAAAAAAAAGGTTGATTGGTCAGATTGCGGTTTTCATGAAAAGAACTAAAAAGAGACACTTTTAGAGTTTAAGTGAAGCATCCAATGCACTCAAAAAAGACGCTTTCTCATGCACCATAGCTTAGTAAAAGCTAAGCCCTGAATCTTGGCTCACTAGCGCTTTGGCTCTGAAGTGTGCTTTTAATAAGTCTGATAGCTCTAAAACATTGAAGTTTGAAATTATAGATGTCAATAAAAATGCAAGTACTTTTGGAGTTTATGGATCCATGAAAATGTTGCTGAAAGGAAACACATCCCATAATAGTTATCTTAAGTGCATCATTTTACTGGGAAGATAAAAGGTAATAAACTTATATTAATGTATAATCCATGCCTGGCTGCTTAAATGATTTCAAAGGCATACATAAGTTCAGGTTTCTTAGTCCTTGTATAATAGAACTACATAACTGAAAAAATTTACAGCAATTACAGGAATCTAAATTCTTAGTGTTTGGTCATTACTAAATACAGGTGATCACCACTTATCTTTAATTGCCCAATGATGAAATTTAAAAAAAACGTAGGTATTCACCAACTACCATTAATGGCATTAGCTTTACAATATGCAAAATTAAAAACTTTTACTCACTTCTTGCGCGGAGACCTTGAGCCAAGCTGGAGGAGTTCTCTTGTAAGGGGGGCATGGAGCTGAGATACCCTTACTACAATCAATAGAGCATGTAAATCAGTCAACTTTCGATTATATCTCTCCGATAAATAAAATCGGCTGAGAAACATAGATATGCAAAAAACAAAACAATAATTACCCGCGACTGTGCATACGACCCATGGCTGCTGCGGCGGCGGTGGCGGCGTGACACTCCTGATAATTGTTACAAAGGCACAGATCCGGTAATATGAATAATAATTGAAAAGGCTAATGTGACATTCTTCTTATGAATGTTAGGAGTTGGAAACAAATAAAGTGAAGCCATACCTATAGGAATGGAAGAACGACGACCCGAAGTCGGAGGCAAATGCCGAACTCAGTGCGACTGCGGAACACTGCGAATGGAAGCTTATACCGTGGCTTCTAGGGTAGAGTTATCTATAACCTGGGCTTATGTTGGATATTATGTGGCCCAATCAATCTCTATGAATAATCTATAAATAATTAGGAGTACATTTTAAAATGAAAAATTTCCGGAAATAGGACTAATAACATTTGAGAATTCCAAATTAGGATTGTTATGTCTTTATTCTCTAAAATGAAGTAATTACTAATTACTGCCAAGTTTAAAAAAAATACTACTCCCGTCGTCCTAAATAAACTTTCAACTTTCCTTTTTCGTTCGTCCCAATTAAAACTTTCACTTTCCATTTTGGGTAAAGAATTTGTGGTTCACAATTTAAATATACAACTATGAAAAGTTTTGTCATATGTCATCTTCTTAGCAACTTATTTATCATAATATTTTAGACTCTTCCTATTTTAGAATCATGTAATCTCCTTGTCCCATTGAACTTTGTTTACTTTCTCCTTTTTGTTGTCCCAAAGAACGTTGTCACTTTTTCATTAAAGTAATCAATTTGTGGTCATGTTCATTTTTCTCTTTTCTATACAAATTTTAACCACATAACTTTTTTCGATTCTCTGTTCTCGCCTAATTCAAAATGTGCAATGTCCATTGAGACATAGGTAATATATTAATATGTCTTGTTGAGAAAAATGACATGTTTAATAGGACTAAAACATGGCATTTTTAACTAAAATGTGCAATGGCATTCTCTTTTCTCAACATAGACATATTAACATATTAAGTGAGAATGACACGCCCATTGAGACATAGGTAATATATTAAGTGCATTCGTAATATACAAATTTATCACGCCCATTGCTGGTTTCACTCTATTCGCGTTAAGAGAATGACAAAATTATCATCGAGACCCACCTTGACCTCCACAAACTCTTGCCGATGCTTGTTGTTATTCCTCATGAGAACAAAGATAGAAATTGGCAACATTGTTCCGACAAAATGTTGAGGATGAATCCCAGCCGTGTTTGACAGTGGAGCCGACAAGTCAAAATTCATGTTGTAATTAGCGCAAGCAAGAGGTGGTGATGGAGGTCATTGAGGCAATGGTTAAGGAGGTAAGGGTAGCTAAGGTGGATCACTGTGGATGGCACAAGGCCACAAAGGTTGTGGTTATGGAGCTTGGGCGGCAAGGGGCATGTGGGTGTTGAGGCATGTAGGCTAGGTGGCAGAGGTCACTCTTGAGGAGATGGTCCAAGGTGGAGTCCACATAGGCGGTTCATATGAAGGGGGAGGTATAAATGAAGGAATGGAGGAAAGAGAAAGAATGGAAGAAAGAAAGAAAGGAAATAAGAAAGAAAAGGGAAAAGGGAAAAGAAAAGGAAAAATTATAAATAAATAGTAAAAAATGTCAGTTAGACATCCACGTAGACCATCAACTGGGAAATCAAACGATCACATATGTGTTTCACTTTAGTACAGCAGAAAAATCTTTTGTACACATTAGTATTGTTGTACACACATATGTGAATGCTTTCTTTTGTCTTTCACTAACAAAACGTGTTTTGTCTGTGACAGACAAAAGAAAGTCTTCACAGGCGTGTGCACAAGTGTGTACAACAATAAAGTGTGTAATCAAGAATTGTTTTTAGCACTTCGTAAACTTGATCGATTCACTTAAAAGTTAGATGACTAAATTCACTTTTTTTTAATAAAAAGGTACAAAGACCGGCTATGGGGGGGCACCTAGGCAAATGCCTAGGGCACTGAGATATTGTGGGGCATCAATTTTTTTAAAAAAATATTATTGTTATATATTCAAGGGAAAGTTCCCAAAATTAGACTAATAGAGTTTGAAAATTCCAAAATAGGACTGCCATGTTTTTATTCCTAAAATAGGAGTAATTTTTTTGAAAATCAAATAACATATATTTAGCAATCAAACCGAAGCAAGTTCACAATACAATCCGGTGGAGTTCCCACCCATAAACAATCAGACTCCGAATCGGCCCGCTGAGCCAAAGTATGAGCAACCCGATTCGCTGATCGCTTCACAAAATGGACACTTAAATTAGCAAAACTAGCTATCATATGTCTAATCTTAGCAAAAATGCTATCCTCGTAAGCAATACCATCCGAAGTTGCAATCCCCTGGACCACTGAGAGAGCATCGGATTCAACAAACACACTTGACCACCCGGCCTGTCCTGCCCAAATAACAGCCTCTCGAACTGCTAGAGCTTCCGTTGTACTAGCCGCAAACCTTCCCCGCACCCATATACTTCTTCCTGCAATAAAAGAGCCTCGTTCATCTCTTGCAACCAGCTCCATTCCCCGCCAATCATCTTGCATATGAGCCCTTGCATCCACATTAATCTTCACAACTCCCGCCATCGGTGGTTGCCATTTGTCCAGCTCCATATCTCCTGCCCGACCCCCTGTACTGCCAGGAGCTGTTATCGGCCTACTGCACATATGAAGTCGTGCCTCCTGCCAACCAGACACCAAGGCTTAGCCCCGGGCTACTACGCCCCTCCAGTTGGAGGTGATATTCTTCCAAGTTTTATCATTTCTTGATTTCCACAGGCTCCAACATATCACCACAAACATCTCAAAATCTTTGTTAGAGCATTTACTACTAACCTTGTTGGCCCATTCTCCAAAGCAGGCAGCCCCTACTTGCAAAAAGATTTGGTTTCGGCTCCTCCAAACTTCTCTTGCTAAAGCACAATCCCGGAAAACATGCATCATGCTCTCCCTTTCTTGTCCGCATACGGTACATATCGGCCACACCGGCACGCGCCGCTGGATCAGCCGCTCCTTTGACGGCAGACAATCCGTGCAAACCTGCCAGAAAAAAGTTTTCAATTTAGGTGGTAAGTTTAGCTTCCAAACTCGAGTCCAGTCCGGCCTATTCTCCACATATGTAGCAAGCTTCCTGTAGCAACTCCGGACCGATTATTTTCCATTTCTCTCAGCCGCCCAAATCAATTCATCCCCTCCCCGAAAGCCCTTTAAGGGTATGGCCGAGATAGCTTTGCAATCTTCCTGCTGAAAAATATCATGTAAAATATCCTAATCCCAGTCGTTACCACTCTCATTTATTAGTGAGTCCACCTTTATATCTTCAAGCTCACTAATAATACCATTCGCCGCTCGCCCCCCATTATTGGTAGGGAACTAGGGATCCATTTATCCTTCCAGACCCTAACACTAGATCCATCCCCTATCCGGCAAATCAGCCCCTCCTGGACCGTAGGCATGGCCGTAATTATACTCCTCCAAATAAGGGAGGGATTACTCCCTACCCCCGCAACCAGAATATTACCCTTGGGATAATATCGAGCACGAAGAACTCTACTAACAAGCGACCCCGACTGTTTAATAAGGCGCCACACCTGCTTTCCCAACATAGCAATATGGAAAATATGCCATGTTTGAAGTCTGGTGCTGCCAAAATATGACAGTAATTAGTCCTATTTTGGGAATAAAAACATGACAGCCCTATTTTGAAATTTTCAAACTCTTTTAGTCATATTTCGGGTAATATTCTCTATAATCAATATTTAGTACTCTGTCCTCGGTAATACTGAAAAAGAAATACTCCACTACGCAAAACTTGAAGAAAAGCAAAACTTGTACAAAGTAAGAAGTATATATATTTGTCACGTGGCCATTATGAATGAGTAATACAAAATTTATAAACTACTGCAAAAACTATGAAATAGTTTTACTTATCGGTAAATTCAATCTATTTTCTTTAATGAGTACAATTTTAGTAATAGCTACATATGTTTTACTATATTATATTCAATATAATTTAAAATTGATTAAGAAAAAGAAAACAGCATTCTTAATTTATACACTATGAAATATTCAGAATTTTGTAATAGGAGTGATTATGAACTACAACGATAATGTTTCAAAAAATATATAATAATTTGATACTTTGAATCAACTACTATATACGGAGTACATAATTAAGGTGTAAAACATTACTGACTAATACCGCATGAAAATACAATTTTAGTTTTTGTCTAGGATACCAAATCAACTAAAGACAACCCTACTTCAAATGGTGGATCTTTTAGAGTTGCACATCATAAATACAAATTGAATTTTCAACATGGCACAAGGTTCTATTTGATCACTTGATCATGAATTGGACACTGTACTCCTTTCGCGATTGTTGAACCTCACTAGATTGTAGCAAACTACTACCAAAATTATTTTGCAAGTGAGGTGATTTATATAAATTAGAACATATTTTTTTTTACCTCTAATACTAGATGTACTAGCAGATGTCATAATAATGTGCATCGATTATGATGATGATGATGATAAACAATACGAAATGAATGTCGATCATGCAAAACGAATGTTGTAAACTTTACTTATTTATATTTTGCAAATAACATAATGTGAAGTTCTAAGATGGATTGTACATTATTTGCTCAATGTTTTGATCAATTCAACAAATCTAAAGCCTATATAAATCTCAACCACTTGTTATTAAATTCAACTCGCCAAAGCAAAGATCTAGAATGGTATAACCTCTCCCGTTTTATGTATCAATTTAAACATTAAAATTTACTCTTTAAGAGATGGAGTGCTCTTCTCATCAGGCCGGCCTGACGGGCTGCTCCGTCCGGCCGAGCCCGTTTGGGCACCTTCCCGGTGGAATTTTTTGATGAAATTTTTTGAGCATGTTCCTCATCAAGTCTAGTTTGTCCATACCAAATTTCAGCTCAAAATTCGATCGGGAAGGCATTCAAATCATTTTTTGAAGTTGACTGCGTCAAAATATACATATAAAACTGCAGTCAACTTCAAAAAATGATTTGAATGCCTTCCCAATCGAATTTTGAGCTGAAATTTGGTATGGACAAACTAGACTTGATGGGGAACATGCTCAAAAAATTTCATCAAAAAATTACACCGGGAAGGTTCCCAAACGGGCTCGGCCGGACGGAGCAGCCCGTCAGGCCGACCTGACATGAAGTTTCCTCTTAAGAGATGTATTCAAATGTCTTTTATTTTCACAAATAAATTCTCATTGCAAAATGCAATCAATTGCACAAAAATAATATGCAACCCTTCATGTGTTCAAGTTGAAAATTAAAAGGCAAGTATGTATTAAACCTTTAGATAACATCTAAACTTTTGTAAAATATTCAAATGTGTACAAACGTGACAATACTTTAAGCTTCGGCCTCCGCAATATAGATTTTTAAAACTCCACCCCCTAAGGCCCTAACATTATAATTCCGTCTCCGCCACTGAAGGTATCCAACCTTTCCAATACTATACATTTATTATTTGTTAGTAAACAATTACGTGACAATCTTGTAAACTATGTCAACCCCTAATTTCCACTTCCTAAGATAGGCACTGGCCAATCCATGCCTCCAAGGTTTGACCACACCAATGACATTGACTTCAATTAAGTGGCTTTAGTTTCGCACTTTTTTTTAAAAAATATGAAATGAATGAAATTTGAAATGAAAAGTTAAAGTTAGAAGAGGAAAGTGAAAAGGGTAATTAAAAACTTGACCACCCATATTTATTGACCAACTAGAAAGTATAAAGGAGTAGAAAAGGGGTAATCAACTTGACGAACCGTATTTATTGACCATTTCTAAACATGTGAGCACGTATGCAAGATATTGAGGAATATTATTGGACCAAAAGTTTATTCACTTAAAATATTCTTATTATAAGTGAGCGGGCTAGACCGCTAGAGGGCCACACTATAGTTGACACATCCAAATTAAATTTGAAAAAACTTTTATAATTTTATTACTAATGTAAAAGGTATCAAATAAAAAATTTATAAAAGAAAATCTTTAAACCACGTCAACACTTATATGGAATTTGTTACACCACTACTTTTACTAATATAATATTATAAAAGTTTGTTAGTATTAGAATATATGCTTAGTTATATTATGAATTATGAATATCCATGTCTATGCAATAGCTTATGCATAATTATATTATAAATAAATATTTATGCAATATTTAATTTTTTTCTCTCCAACCATCTAAAAGTGAGAACGATAAATATGGCAGTTTTCTATAAGAAATTAAACAATTATGCATTGACACACATAATTACATGTTGGCACAAATATAATCGTCTTAAGAACAAACAACTAATGTCTAATCAAACACATTGATTTTCATGTCAAAATGTAGACGGGCACATAAACCTACACAGACGGGCACATAAACTAATGTTTGTTTGTGTGCACAGACAATTGTTGTCTAGAGTGTACAAACAATAGTTGTCTGTGTGAGCAAATTACGATTTTTTTTCAATTAGATGTTTCTCGCGAAGACAACAATTGGTGTATGTATCCAAACACTTGGGCCATATAACAAGCTGAAAACACCATGCTAGTGTTTGGATATAAGGAATTGAATTTCCTAATTCAATCCTAGAATCTAAAGCATTGGAATTTAAGTTACCTTTACAAAAAAAGAGAAGATGATGATGGAGAGATGTTTAGGGAGGGAAGGACCAAATCAAATATAATTTATATGGAAAATATGGGTACCATATTTTGGAGAAAAAAGTATTAGTTCTGGATGGAGAAATTTCCCTTGTGGAAATTGCAAAGCTATTCTTAAGGCCAAACGATAGTGATTCTTCTCGGTCGAGTGAAAGGATCATCTAAGGTTGAAATTTGAAACCAAACAAGCCCCATATTGAAACTATTAATAATGCTTTTCATGTATTTACACGAACAAGTAAATTGAGGAGACAATAGTTCGCTCTAGAACCAAGTAATGAGATAACCTTGTTGACATAACTACATTGAACAGTCAAAATTACACAGTAAATAAATACTCACATTGTTTTTTGAATAGCTCTCCACTCTTAAAAATTATGAACACTTCAATACATTGTAACACGAACAAGCTCTTACTTCTGTTGTTAGCAAGCTAATGTACAACAGTCTTTAAAGTCTTGTACATAGCTGAACACGCACGAGAAAATTCTGACATTGCCCGAAACAGTTCAGGCAGGCCGGTTTTCAAACTGGTAAGCGACTTCTCGCTGACATGGATGCATTGCCTCTGGTAGTTCTCCTCCTCCTCTTTCAACCTATGCTTCAGATTTTCCAGCTGCACCTGTCGTTCAATTACAGCACTATCCTCTTGACCACCCCCTTCTTCGTCTGCCATGTCAGCATCATTTGGTGTCCTCCTTTGCATATACTTGTGATACCAATCCTCGTATTGCCTTGTCTTCTTCGTTAGCTCCTTTCTCATCTCATTACACCTCTCCCTCAGCTTCATCTCCTCCGCTTGGTGCTGCACCATGGTGTTAACAACTGCAGAGAAACTGTATATGGCATTTCTGGCAAGTTCATCCGGAAGCTTTATGATCAGGTCTTCCCAGGCAAGGAGAAGGGAGAGGATGGGAGGGTGTTCTGGCCTTTGTGGAGAGGAGACCACCTTTTCCTTGAGATTCGTGTCGATGGGAATGAGATTTAACTTCAACCAATTGTTTAGCGCTTTAATATATTCCTTCTGGTGGCTTATCATCTTCTCAAACTGTGTGTGCCACTCTTGCAATACCACTCCAAGCTGGAAAGTGCGTTCATGTAGGTGCTCACTTGTTTCTTTGGGAGATTGTAGCATTTCTAGAGACCTTAGAGCCAGAGAGATATGTGATTGTGTTTCGTGGTGTCCTTTCATCGTCTCCCACATTTTAGCCATACTGAGGAAGAAGTTACAACAAACTAGTAGTGTTCAAGTATTCAAGCAAATAAAGCTGGAAATTCTACTAGGTTATGCTAGGATAATACTAGTATGATTTGAGTCAAATCCTGTGTTTGGGAATTCAAAGAACTTTGCATTTGGAATTGGATTTCACTAAAACCGCACACTAATTAAAAAAAATCAATCTATTACTACGTAATAATTTTGAATTCCTTCAAAAGTAAAGGTAACTTAAATTCCAATGCTTTAGATTCTAGGATTGAATTAGGAAATTCAATTCCTTATATCCAAACACTAGCATGGTGTTTTCAGCTTGTTATATGGCCCACATGTTTTAGATAGGAAAACACAATACAGACACTGTTGTATGTAGAGTACTAACTGCTTCTAAAAGTTGATTCACTTAACACTGTGTTTAGTAAATCTCTTTAAAAGGAGAGGAAAATAAGAAGGGAAAATAACTTTTAGTTTCATTTCTTAATACTACCTTTAGTACTTGCCTTCAAAACAAAAAAATACTACCTTTAGTACTTGAATTGAGCTAAAATATAAAGTAAAGCAAATAATTGTTTTATACTACGTATATATTTGGACAATTGATTTCAGAGGAAAATAAAGTTATAGACTCATAGTGGTAATAACTTATACCATAGTAGTACGTTATACAAAATTCATAGGATACAGAAAATATATTTTAAAATTTTGAAAATTGGAATGAAAAGGTCTCTTTAATAAGGATCTAGAAACATAAGAAATAAAGAAACTAGATTATACCTAAGGGAGAAAGGAAAGAAACCTTAAGAGTCAGGCATTATGAAGTATGAAGTTATGA